CTTTCCTCCTAGGAGGTGATGCCTGACATGTAACCTCCCTCCATCTTCCCTGTTGCAGCCAAAGCCCCTTTTTAAAGCATCTGGAGCTGTGTTTTTAGGCACAGGGAGATGGGTCCAGTGACCTTTGCCTCTCCAGAGCAGGAGGGAGGAGTAATAGTAACCCTAAGGCAGACTCTGTCCTGGGCAGGCACGGCACCCACACAGTGGGAGATGTGTCACAGCATCCCTCAGGTTGCTAAGCTCTGCTGCCTGCCTGCCTGAGGTGCTGGCAGAGGTAGGAAAATGGATGAGGTGACACAAGAGAGGAATGGCTGGTGTGTGTGTGTGTGTGTGTGTTTGTCCCTGAGTGTGCATGTGGGCAGGGGACAGGCTCTGGGTTGGTGACTGGGGAGTCACCCTGGGTGGGATGTGTCTGGATGGCTCTCTGTGTGTATTGGTGCATTGGTGTTTGTGTCTAAGAGGAATGTGTATGTGTGTGGAGGTGTCTATCTGTGTGTATCTGGATGTGCAATTGTGGCTTTGACTAGCATTGGCCTCCCAGTGAGTGTGGGCATGCATGCCTTTGTCCATGGCTCCGTGAGCGTGCATTTGTGGAACTTGGTATGTCTGCCCCCACAGGGATGACTCATCTAATCCCCCCACATAACCCCCCCTCATCTAGAGCTGCTTGACTGTTCGAAATGCAGAGGTTGGGAGGGGGCTGCTGTGCATGGGGGCGGGGAGGCAGAGCATGCGGGACACTCAAATGGCCAGCTGCTACAGACAAGGTGGAGCTGTGATCTGAAAGGTGCAGACTGGTGTGTCTGCGTGGGCGGAGGTACCGCTGAGCCCAGCACAGCCCAGGCGTAGAGCCAGCCCACAGTTCAGAACTCCACAATTTAGACAGCCTGGGCTAGAGTGAGCAAAGGGTGCTCCATGCCACCCCAAACCATTATACATGAGGGCGCCTGTGTCTGTGTGGGGAAAGTCATGGCTGACAATCCACCCTCGCACCCACAATATCCACTTTTATAGAACCAGTCCTGTATCTCCTTAAAAAGGATCCCAATTACCAAATCCTCTTTCACCCCTTGGTACCCAGAGATGGCTGCTCCCCAGGACAAGGGATCATGAGTATTTCTTCCTCCCCTATCAGACCTTGACCAGGCAGGAGGCTCTGGTCCCTCTGGTCCTGAATCTGGCTCCCTCAGCTACGGCCTTAGGGTGACATAGGCCAGATTTTTGGCCTAGGTCCGCATGAGGGAGAGACCCCAGGTGTACGCTCAGAGAAGACCTGGGGCCCAACGGGGGCCAATGATGCTGTGGAGGACCCATAAGGAGCGGTGGTGTTTTGGTCTTTGGGCCCAACAGCACTGGCCTCTGGGAGCTCCTGGCAAAAGGCTGAGTCCATGGGAGGGACCCAGGGACCTCATGTCCTCTGCCTCCAAGTCGGGCACTCAGCCCTGACACCTCCTCCACCCAGGGAGGGTGGCCTGAAGCCATTGCTTTGCCCTAGCTGTCTGTCACCCAGTGGCCACATGACCTCTTGTTGATCTAATCCTGAGCCTCTGAGCCACAGATCCCTGTCACATCCATCTTTGAGTGTCAGCCCCGGCACTGGCCCCAGGTGCTATCCCCTGTCCCTTCCAATTCCAATGTGACTTACAGTAACCTCTGTCTGGCTAGGACTAGAGTAATCGAAATGTAATTGGGTTTTCAACTTGCTAATGCTGCCACGGGCCTGGGATGTGGATGGGAGCTCTCTGGGCGGGGCAGAGGTGCTTTTCAGAAGAACAGAGATCAGAAAACAAGCAGGCATGAGGTGAGTAGGGAGGACCAGCCGTGACTGGGCTGTGGCCTGGAAGGGGGATTCCGGGGGCTGAATCGAGGCAGGCCACTGGGGCAGTGGGGGCATTTGGGCCCAACGGCACTGGCCCGGGAGCTCCTGACAAAGTTCTGTGTCCACGGGAGGAACACAGGGACCTCATGTCCTCCACTTCCAGACCTGGAGCTCCACTTCTGTGCCTCTTCTCCCTGAGGAGGGCTGGCCTTCTTCCAGGGTTCGGGTGGCTTGAAGGGGACAAACATCCACTGAAGGAACAGGGGCTCAGGGCCCAGAGTCAGGCATTTTGGTGGCTTCACAAGCTCGCGAGCATCTTTAAGCCCGAGGCAGGGGCAAGAGGGAAGGGGCTAAAGACAGCAGTGTCCTAGCTGTCCGCTCACTCAGATTCTTGCTCAGCAAACACCAGCAGGTAGGCTGCAGAGATGGGGGCCCGGCTGGCTCGCCTGGGGAGACCATGCCAGCAAAGGGCTGGGGTGGGTATGAAATGCATTGGATGGGAGCCTGTGGAGGCAGGGCAGGGAGCAGGGGCAGGTTGGGACTGGGCCAACAATGACAGCGCATGTGAACCCAAAGGAAAAACAAGCCAGCCTCCTGTCTGCTAAGTCTGGTGTGCAAGGCTGTTAGAGCACAGGCTTTGGGGCCAGAAAGGCCTGGGTTAGACTCCAGGTTCTGCTGCTTCCTGCCGTGTGATCTTAGATAGTCACTTCACCTCTGTGATAGGCTGGGTAATGGCCCCCAAAGATGGCCACATCCTAACCCCGGAATCTATGAATATGCTACATGGCAAAAGGGACTTTGCAGATGTGACTAAGCTAAAGATCTTGAGATGGGGAGGTTATCCTGGGCTCTCCAGGTGAGCCCGTGGTAATCACGGGGGTCCTTATCTGAGGAAGGCAGGAGGACCAGGTGATGGTGACGCGGAGGCGGGAGTGACGCCGCGCTGGAAGGGGCCATGAGCCAGGGCTGCTAGAGGCAGGCAAAGACAGGTTCTGCCCTAGCGCCTCCAGAGGGAACGCAGCCCTGCTGATGTCCTGGTTTTAGCCTCGTAAGACTCACTTTGGACTTTGAAACTCCAGAAGTGTAAGGGGAAAAAATTGTGTTGTTTTAAGCCACTAAGTTTGTGACGATCTGTTATAGCAGCCACAGGCAGGACTCTTGTGCAGCCTCTGTGTGCCGCATGTCACTGATTATAGGACAAGACCCAGCCCTGGCCGGTTTGGCTCGGCGGTTAGAGCGTCAGCCCGTGGACCAGAGAGTCTCAGGTTCGGTTCCCGCTAAGGGCACGTACCTCGGTTGCGGTTTGTCCCCGGCCCTGGTTGGGGTCGTGTGGGTGGCAACCAGTCGATGTGTCTCTCATGTCGATGTTTCTCTCTCTCTTCCTCCCTCTCTCCCTCCCTCTCTCTGTACCGCAGGCCGATGCTCTAACCGCTGAGCCAAACCGGCCAGGGGCTCTCCCTCCCTCTCTATCTGAATATAAATGCAAAAATGTCCTCGGGTGAAAATAAAAAATAGTAATAACAAAAATAAATAAATAAATAAATAAAATAAGACAAGACCCACAGGGGCCCCTGCCGTGTCGCGCTGTGTAAGGGCTCAGGCAGTGGCAGGCACACAGAGCAGCAGGCGCTGGGCGCCAGCGGGACAGAGCCTCACACATCCATGCACGTGCTGTTTTAAAAATCACATTATTTTTTTTAAATCAGAGTGGTCATCATGGGAAGAATCAGGACTTTGTCAGACATTTGGTATTGTCTGTATTTTGAGCCATACATGGTGCAGGAGGTTGCTAAAGATCTAAATCATAAAATAAATAATATTAGTAATAAACGATGATCTGTTGTGCTTATTTTTTTTTTTTTTTATCCTCACCTGAGGACATTTTTCCTTTTTTTATTTTTTCAGATAGAGTAGGAGGGAGAGAGAGAGAGAGAGAGAAACATCGACGTGAAAGGGACACATCGAGTGGTTGCCACTCACACAACCCAACCAGGATCGGGGACAAATTGCAACTGAGGTACATGCCCTTAGCGGGAACCGAACCCCCGTCTCTCTGGACCGCAGGCTGATGCTCTCACCGCTGAGCCAAACCGGGCAGGGCTGGTGTACTTATTTTTAAACAGAAATACCCAAGAGGAAGGAAGAGGGGAGGCCTGATTTTTCCGTGTGTGTGTGTGTGTGTGTGTGTGTGTGTGTGTGTGTGTAGACTGGCGGGTTTCTAACTATGACCTGGATCACCAGACATTTGAGGAAAATCTTCAATAGGACAAAGACTAAGAAAAAATCAAGTTCCAAAGGCAACTTGGGCTTTGTTTTGAGGGATGCCTAGGAGTTCACAGATGGGCTTTGAGTGAGTCACGCGAGGCAGGAGTGAGAGAGGAAGAAGGGATGAGGTTTCAGGAGTGGAATTCTGAGGGGACAGCATGAGCAAAGGCAAAGCGTGGGCCAAGGGCTGCTCTGGGGCCCAGTAAACGCCAGTTTGGCCCGAGGGTGCTCCCGTGAAGAGGAGCAATGAGAAAGAGAAAGGTGGGTGAAGGGCTGGCCTCACGTCTGGGCTGAGGAACTTGGACTCAGTTCCACAGGCAGCAGGAGCACAGAAGGCATAGCAAGTGTGCGATGTGGACAGATTGGCAGCCATGCCCTCCAACTTAAACACATTTGAAAAGAGTAAAGAGTATGTTCTCCTTGTAAAGGATTCAAACCATTCAGAATAAAATAAAGTAAACTTAGTATTTTTAATTTTGTAGAGCAGCCATTGACTCCTGTATTAGAATATAGTAACTGTAACAAAGACTCCCAAATGACAGCGGCTTAGAAAGATGGACATTTTTTATCTCGCAGCCCATCCAGAGCTGGTAAGATGGCTCTACAATCACCAGGAAGCCAGAATTCTGCCAGGATAGATGAGTATCATGGCCATGAGCTCAGGTTCTGGTGTCAGACTGTCCAGGTTTAAATCATGGGTCTGTCATTTATGAGCTGTGTGACCCTGGACATTCTACTTAACTTCTCTGTGCTTGAGTTTTCTCATCTGTAAAATGGGGATAGTGTAGTACCAATCTGAGGTAGGGAGAATTATGTTCCCCCAGAGATGTCTATGTCCTATTCCCTAGAAACTGTGAATGTCACTTTATACGGCAAAAAGGACTTGGAGGAAGTGATGATGAGTCTTTTTATTTTGAACTGTCTTTTCCCAAAGTGTTGCAGATCAGTTTCAGCAAACAGAATGGCGACCATCAAGGAAATCTGTCACTCTGGGCTCCTTTTTTTTAATGTTTTTATCGATTTCAGATTGAGGGAGAGTGAGATAGAAACATCTTTGATCGGCTGCCTCCTGTATGCCCCGTACTGGGGATCAAGCCTGAAACCAGAGCTTGTGCCCTGACCAGGAACCAACCAGCAACCTCCTGGTGCATGAGACAATGCTCAACCCACTGAGCCACGCTGGCTGGGCTCTGGGCTCCTTTTTTCTTTTTTTATCCTCACCTGAAGACATTTTCCATTTTTGTTCAGATAGAGTAGGAGAGAAAGAGAGAGAGGAAGAGAGGGAGAAAGAAACATTGACGTGGCGGGGACACATCGAGTGGCTGCCTTCTGCACAACCCCAACTGCAACCGAGGTACATGCCCTTAGCGGGAACCGAACCCGGGTCTTTCTGGACCGTGGGCCGACGCTCTAACCGCTGAACCAAACAGGCCAGGGCTGGGCTCCTTTTTGACCGTGGCAGCAACGTGGACGCTGCCACAGCTTCGGTAAGGGCCATGAAGAGTCGGTCTTGAGATGGGGGTGTTATCCTGGATTTCCTGGGTGGAACCAGTGTAATCACGAGGGTCCTCATAAGAAGGCAGGAAGTCAAAGTACTAACAGGAGACGTAATGACGGAAGCAAGAGATTATAGTGGTATGAGGAAGGGATGGCGAGCCGAGGACGCAGCTGGCCACTAGAAGCCAGAATAGGCAAGGAAACGAATTCTCCCAAGTCCCCAGAAAGAAGCAGCCCAGCTGACACATTGATTTTAGACTTCTGACCTCCAGAATTGTAAGAGAATAAATTTGTGTTGTTTTAAGCCACTAGGTTTGTGGTAATTTATTACAGAAGCAATAGGAAACTAATACCCTTCCTCATTGGGTTAAATAAGTTAATATACCCAAAACCCCTAGAAAAGTGCCTGACACAGAGTTAGCATATATACAAGATATGGCAAAAATCTAACAGGCCTGAATTTGGTCACCTGGTCCCATGTAGCTGCAAGGGAGGCCAGCGAATATATATATATATATACGTAGCCATGTGCCCAGTGAAATGTAAGCGTCCCATGACTAAAGGGAGCTGGGGAGGTGGGTGCTGAAGAACTAACAGTGTCTGGCACAATGTCCTACTATAAAAGACAAGAAGTTTAGCAAAGGTATCCTCCCTCCAGAATTTACTGGATACACATTTTCCAGCTCTCCTTTCTTGTGCCATTAGTTTTATGCACTCTCTCTCGACTCCCCACTGTGTAAGATGAGCGTCCCTTTCCCCTTGCCTCCCTCCTCCTAACTCTTCTCCATAAACCATTTCATTTGCATCTTGTTCTGTATCCAGAATTAAAATGTCCTGGTTTTGTGTGTTGTCTATCTCTGAATTTCAAAACTTGAAAATAAATAAAGTGTTTTTAAAAAATATTATAATTATGCCCCTGGCCAGTGGCTCAGTTGGTTGGGTGTTTTCCGGCGCATCGAAAGGTTGCTGATTCAATTCCTGGTCAGGGCACAAGCCCAGGTTGCTGGCTGCATCCCAGAAGGGGGTGTGTAGGAGGAAGCCTATGGATGTTTCTCTCTCACATTGATGTTTCTCTTTCTCTCTCTCTTGAAAAAAAAATCTTTAAAATATATTTTGATTATGTAAACATTATTCTCTGCAGAGCTAACTAACATCCAGAGACCCATTGAGAAAGAACTATGTATATCTTATGGTTTAAATGCTGCTTAAAGGGGAATGCTCTAGGCTTCAAGTTCAAATGTATTTTCCTACAGTCCCTTGAATACTTGGAATCATGTTAAATTTTAATTTACTTCATATTTGGAGCATGACTTTCTTATACAACTTTTTGTCCCCCCCCCCGGTATTTCTAATTGCTTTTCTCTTTTCTTCTTGAGAAAAGAAACATATGCCTTTTAAATCAGGTCATTAAAATCCTCCAGCTTCTTAATTATATTATTTGTTGAATGAAGCCCATTTTCTTCTTAAAGTCGTTCTTCTCCAAACCCTCTGACTTCCTGTTCTAATTTTGACGGATGGTTTTATGAATCTCTGGTATTTCTATTCATTGCACTCCTGGGTTGATTCCAGTGTTTCGTGAAACTGATATCTCTTTCTTTCTTGGGTTTTGTCTCTGTTTTGCTGGAGTATATTTTCAAATAACATATCAAGAAGGAGTGCATGGGAGGAAAGCTTTCTGCATCTTTGCATGTCTGAAAGTGTCTTTAATATGTCTTAGGATTATGGCGTGGGGAGATCAAGCAGCAGGCTTTGCTTTAGGGCAGGCAAAAGGGGTGCGAGAGACAAGCAGATGCCCCCCACTCCCACCCTGGGCCAAGACAGGGAGGGATGTACTCTGGACACCAGCACTCTGAGTAGGACATCTGCTCCTTTGGAGAAAGAGTACTCAGTTTCTTTAGAGAGTATTCCTCTCTCATTTTTTAATCTCTCCCCCTCCCTACATCTTCTCGGAGTGTGTTTGCAGGGGAGAGTTGGTGGCAGACGCTGGTTTGTTATTCATTAATCAGGCCTTGATTTGAGTATTTTTCAAACTTTGGTTATCCTCATGCCACCGTCTCAATTTTCGCCACATCTTCTTATTACCTGGATTAATATTTACTTATGGTATTATTTTTCTTTAAACTGATTATTCTAGCCTTACACTATACCTGTAAAGTTGCAAGTTTGATGTTACATCTCTTGTTTGCAATTAGATAGTTATGTTTTCTAATTTATATTAAAATAAGCATAACTGTTAAGATAGCAGAGGGTTTTTATTTACCACTAAATATCATCTACGGTAGTGGTGCATGAACCATAGTTTGGGGAATATGTCTTTAATTAATTACTGTGTTAATTACCCGCTAATCAACTGCCTGAGCGTCCTCTGTGTACCTGCCAGTCTGGGCCTCCAAGGAGGCCTCCTTTGAATAGTCCTTCTCTCCTTTGGTCTGATTCTGACATGCTCGAAAATAAAATAAAAGAGTAATGATGGAAGAAAAAATATCACTTTTGTTGTTGATGATGTCAAGTGAGAGAACTTAGCCTAGGGTAAGAGCTAGAGGACCTGCTAACTGAACCTCCATCCCACCATCGCTGACTATTGAAGAGGACAGTTTGACCACTGCACCTGTGGTGGGCTCACCGTCTCCGTCACAACTCTCCCATCCAGTGCGGTGGCTACTACGATCAAGTCTCTTGGGCTCCGGTACATATTCAGAAAGCAGACAGTTCATATCTTGTATGGACTAATGCAAAAAATAGAACAAGAGGGAAAACAACCCCTTGAATTTTCTGTGGCTAGTAGAAGCTTAATACTCAACCTAGACAAGGACAGTTTAAGACAGAATTCTCAATTATGAATATAGATTCAAATATCATTATTATCAAACTAAATAAAGCAATATATATTAAAAAATACATCACAACCAAGTTGAGTTTATTCCAAGAATGCAAGTATATTTCCATATTAGAAAATTGTCATGTTAACTCTCAACATTAACACATTAAAAGACACAAAAATCTTATGACCATATAAAACAGATAAAGAAAAAGCTCTTGATAAAATCAAGCAGTTTATAGAAATTCCCTCCTAACCCTAGTTTTCCAAGAATTTCTATAAACTGCTTGATTTTATCAAGCAGTTTATAGAAATTCTTGGAAAACTAGGGTTAGGAGGGAATTTCTTTAATATGATATGTGATAAAGGGTATCTTTCTAAAACCTATTGTAAACATACCAGTTAATGGTAAACACTAAAAATATTCCTTTTAAAGTCAGAAGGCTGAAAAGATGTTTACTATCTCTGGTTCTGTTCAAAGATGCTCTAAATTTCCTCCCCTGTGCAATAAGATAAGAAAAAGAAATAAGTGGCATAAATCACTGAAAAGGAAGAAACAAAATGATCATCCTATATTTGTAGAGTATGTGATTGTCTACTTAGAAAATAAAAAAGATTCTATAGAAAAACTAGTAAAACTATTGAGAGGATTCATATTAAAGAGACACATTTTCATAAATCTGCTGTATGTCTGGGATGCCTTGCAGAGACATTAACTGCCATTTTGTATTGGATTTTTCTTTTCTTTTCTTTTTGGACCATCCCTTCAAGGATGTTTGTATGTCACTATCTTCAGAATATAGAGTGTCTCCCCAGAGCAGAAGGCAGACTTGCCTATTGTCCAGTGTCATGAAGATAACTTGTCCCTCTGCCGCAAAGATTGGGCACACACAGAAGTCCCTTGCTGTGGGAGATGGAGCCAGAATGGGAAGAGATTACAGGTGGGCCCTTAGCCTCCAGACTACTCTTGCCTTGGGTGTCATAAATATTAGGAGCAGGCTTGTGGACCCTTCAGCCCATTTGTCCAAACTCTGTCTACTTACCCCATCCACCACAAACAGGCACCCCATCCTCTCCTTAGGATTAGGTGTGTGTGAGATTCTATGATTGGCTTTGAGCAAATCCTGATTCATCCTCTGGGGCTGGTACTTTGACATTACAAGAATAAACTGGGGCTAGGGTAAAGACACTCCTCCTAGGACCAACAGATGTCTGCCTGATGCTTGAAAAGAAAAAAAAAAAATCAGGATTTTGTAGCAAAAGGCTTGGGGCATGCTGTTGGTCAAGCAGTAGGCAGTGACTGTTACACTTAGGGTATCTCTTTTCATATCTTTATTTTTAGGATTTCCATATTTTTGTTTTAGATGTGTCTCTCATGAACAGCATATAGCTGGACTGTGTATTTTCACTCATGCTGATAATCTATTAACTGGTGAAATCAGCACATTTACATTTTTTTATTATCAGCATTTAATATTTTATTTCTAAATCTCACGTTGTGCTTTCTATTTACCTGTGTATTATCAATAATTCTCAATTGCCATGTCACAAATTATCCCAAAACTGAACAACTCAAAACAACAAATCATTTTCTGTCCCACACACCTTCTTAGGGTCAGGATCCTGGGAGCCGTGTAGCTGGGGGTTCTGGCTCAGGCTGCCTGGAGGATGCTGTCAAGCTGTTGGCCAGCGCTGCAGCCTTCTCAAGGGTCTGCTGAGGAACTGCTTCCAAGTTCAAGCACAAGGCTGGGGCAGGAGGCTTCCGTCCCGCGACACGTGGGCTTCTCCCTAGGGCTGCTCCTGACATGTCTTCCCTAGAGCAAGTGATCTGAGAGATACAGCGAGCTCAGAGAAAGAGGGGGGGGGGGAGAGAGAGAGAGAGAGAGAGAGAGAGAGAATGAGAATGCAACCAAAATGGAAGCCACAGGTCTTTTCTAATAAGATGGTCAGATTTAGCCAATAAAAATACAGCCCAGTTGAATCTAGATTTCAGATATTTCAGTATTTGCATGGACATGCTTATACTAAAAAATTATTCATTGTTTATTCAAAATTGAAATGTGACTGTCATCTATCTGGCAACCTTATTTTATAACCTAATCTTGGAAGTAAAACTGGCTGCTTAGTTAGTGGCGCTCCTTATTGAAAAATTATTAGGAATTTCAAGTCATTGAGAGCGGAGCA